ATGACAAAAGGAAAATAATTACTTATTTGTTGGCTTATGTGGTCTGAAGAAGTCATTTTTGGGTCCTTTTTCTCACTCACCACCCCTCAGACAATGTTGAATTTTGCAAATGTTAGCCTGTAAATATTTTTCAACTTCATCCAATTTTTTCAAACCATAGTTTAGTCCCTTTCACCTTTTGCTTAGACTACTATAACTCTATCCTAACTAATCACCACTGTTTCAGTCTTGTATCCTCTGAATTTACTTGTCCCAATTTTGCTTAAGTAATCTATACACAAAATGAAGGTTGTGCATACCCACTGCTGTGCTTAAAAGGCTTCAGTAGGTCTCTGTCATCTGCAGGAGAGGGCCCAAGCCCATAATGCTATAAACTATGTTGCTTTGCTAATCTTGTCTTCCATAGCTCCTGACCCAACAAAATTGAGGAACTTGTAATTCCCTTTCTCATTTCCTTATCTTTTTGCCTACACAGCTCTCTTTCCCTCTTTGTCTTATCCTTCTCACAGTACCCTAACTCACGTTCAACCTCAATATGTACACACTTTTGTACCTCAGCCCCCAACACAAAGATTTATTCAGGGTAAATTTATCTGATAAAAATTGGTCCAATCAACATATACATCCTCACATTTCAGACCAAAAGTCATCTCTAGAGATCTTTACCTGGTTCCCCAGCTGCCCCCAGAAATTGCACATCACTGTGCCACTATTTGAAAATGAATTGTCTGTTTCTTTACCTCACCCCCATCAGACTGTGAGCTGCCCAAGGAGTTCATTTTTAGGAAAGCAATTTTTATCTCTCGTGTGTGTTTAGTGAAGATGTCACACCCTGAATTAGACAAGACACACTAAGCAAACTACTACAGTATGGGTGCTGGGGCTTCTCCTCCTTTGCTGTCCCTTTCTCCACCTGGCGTGGGTGCTGGAAGGAGGAAGCCAAGATAAGTAGCCAAATGGGGGTTTCTCTCCAGCCTCACTCAGTTTCCCTGTACACACTCCCTTTTTTTTAATCTCCACAGAGATGTTCTTTTCTTATCTTTTTCCTTGTATCAGTCCTCAAAGGAAGATCAGAAAGAATTTGGATGCCTTTCAAATTAGAATCCAAATAATTAGCAACAGAAACAGTTTCCAGAGGTACCCAGTGAGCAGAAATATGAATACCCAACCTGCATTCTCTGTTTAGGGGGTGATTTGCTGGCATTTCCTGCCCTTCCAGTCAGAACTGACCCAACTTCAGGTAAAAGGAAATAAATCTAAACAAAAACGAGTTGGATTTTCCTATTAAGCTAGGTTTTCCAGGGCTTTTACAGAGTATTTGTTGAATGAATAGCAAATGAGGCTAAAGTTGTTGAGTCACCCGCCCCCCCCTTTTTTTTGGTACTGCGGATCGAACTTGGGACCTTGGCTTATAAAGCAGGTGGTGGAACTGACTCAGGGCTAAATCCCCAGCCCTGAATCACAGGTTTTAAACAGGATTTAATGGTGTAGTAGTGAAACCAAGCTACTATTAGGAGCAATATAGTCAGGTCATCATCTTTCACTTAGTAGTTACTTAGTGGACTTCTGATAGACTCACGGTATTCTTTAATGAAGGGTAACATGTGGTCCTTGCTCTTGGGAATTAGGGCTTAGAGGAAAACTAATGAATTTTTAAAAATACACAAATTGAAGAATATAAAGCAAAAGGTATTCAAAAGGTAAAACCTGACCAAATAGCAAAGGAGTGATACATGCAGTAATTGTCTTGATCCCTAAGACAGGAATGGTTCCAGGGAGTTAGTGGATGGAATACAGAAGTGGAGCTGCTCATATGTGTTCCTGGGATGTTGATTTAAATGATCTGACCATTTAGGAGTCATTATTTTTCCTCATTGAATTTATTGGTATATTTTAGGTATACAATACAGTTACATTCATTATTGGGATCTTGTTTGAGAAAATGAAGTTGGAAATCCTGTGGAAATCTGTGAATTTGGAAGTATACAGTTATGTTTCATCTGTTAGGCTAATGTTTCTTAAACTTGACTGACAATTTAGAATCACCTGGAGAAACATTTGAAATATTGATGCCCTGGGTCTTATATCCAGAGATTCTGGTTTAATGGGTCTGGCAACCAAGGGTTTTTTAGACTGAATATTAGAATCAGCGTAATTCTGACTTTCATTTTGTTTTATTTTTTTTAAGACAGGGTCTCACTATGTATTTCAGACTGCCCTGGAACTCACTGTGTAGCCCAGGCTGGTCTTGAACTCACAATCCTCCTGCCTCAGGAACTCGCGATCCTCCTGCCTCAGCCTCCCAAGTGTGGGATTACAGGCATGCGCCACCACATCTGGTGTAATTCTAACTTTTAAGATACCACCAAAGACAACACATACACTGGGAGAACATATTTATTAATCACATAGTATCTGATAAGGAACTTGTTTCAAAAATATTAACAAACTCCAAAAAGTCAATAATTCAAAGACAGACCCATTATAAATGGGCAAATGATGTGACTAGGAAATTATTGAAAAAGGATATACAAATGGTTAATAAGCTCAGGAATAGATGCTCAACATCATAAATCATTAGAGAGATGCAAATCAAACCATGATGAGATACCACCTCATTAACACGAGGATGGCTATAATAGAAAAGAGGGACAATAGCAAGGGTTGGTGAGGATATGGAGAAATTGGAACCTGTACACACTGCTGGTGGAAATATGAAATGGTGCAGTTGCTTTGAAAACAGTTTGGCAAGTCCTCAGAAAGTTGAACTGAGAGTTATATTGTATGACCCAGCAATTCCACTCCTGGTACATACCTAAGAAAGTATAAAATACATCTTCACATGAAAACTTTTACACAAACATTCACAGTAGTCTTATTCGTAATAGCCAAAAAGTGATGAATGGAAAAGTAACATGTGGTATAGCTACACAGTGGAATATTGTTTAGTCATCAAAGCAGTGAAGGTCTAATAAGTATTATAACATGGATCAGCCTTGAAAACATGCTAAGTGAAAGAAGCCTAATACAAAAAGTCACATATCGTATGAATCCATTTATATGAAATGTCTTGAATAGGCAAAAACCATAGATACAGGAAGAAAATTAATGTTTGCCTGAGGTTGGAGAGAGACAGAAATGGAAATAACTGCTAATGAATATAAAATTTCTGTTTAGGTTCATGAACATATTTTGGAATCAGATAGTGGTGATACATTCACAATTTTATGAATATTCTAAAATGAAAGCCACTGACTTTTATACATTAAACGGGTAAATGTTAGGGTTCCTGAGTTATAGCTCAATGAAGTTGTTACCAAAATGAAAGAAAAACAATAAAGAAAAAAATATCAACACTTTCCCCTCCGCACCATCCCAATCTAGGCCAATTCAATCAGAATTTTTGGGAGTGGGAGCACCTGGACATAGGTTTCCTTTAATGTCCCTGGTACAGAAGTACTTATAATTATATAGGAGTCAAAGAGCTCTCGGCATATAGTTCTATTGTGCAGCTCCCTTCTACCCAAAGCAAAAGCAAAAGTAAAACCAAAACAACTCCCCCCAAATCCCACGTGAATTCAAACCCAGGTTAAATTGTAAATTTCATTTTAATAGACTCTGATCCTATTTGTTTTTTCAGCCTGGGTACTGCTTCAAACAATCTTTTATTTAAAATGCAAGTAGGTAGATAATTACTCACCTACTCCTAAAACCATAGAAAAATATTTGTATTGAAATTTGAATTAAAGACAAAAAATTGCTTCAGAAAGAAGTTTGTAGTGTCTTTTGGTTGCAAGTTTGATTGCTAATGCTTAAGTGATCTGTTTCTTAGGTGGTGTGGCTGAGTAGGGGTTTAGTTCTGGCTTTGCACACCATTTGCTGAGTGATTTTTACACTACCTAATATTTCTAGGCCTCATACAGTCATTTTTTTAAAAAAAGGACTATTTTGTCATCTGCCAGAAATGGAAATAAGGTAAGGAACTATCAATATATTCTCTTCTTTTCTGGAGCTGATAGCATAGCTTGTTTCTTGGCCTTTAAAGTGGGAGACTGAATTAGGTAGTCTTCAGATTCTTCAATCTTTTTAAAATATTATTTTTCTTTTTTAAGATACTATATTTTCATGTATGCCAGGCTGGCCTTGAACTTGAGAGCTTCTGCCTCAGCCTCGTGAGTGTTGCCATTATAGCTATGTGTCACAATGCCTGGCTTCTTTGATCTTTTGTTTGGGTAATATAAAGGCAGAAGGTGACCAGAGAGATGACTCTCAAGGTTCCACCCTCTGTGATTAGGAGAACATATATGTAAATTTATTGAGGAGGCTGTATTCTGAATTTTCTATAGAAGAGAAATAAGAGTAAACTCTTTGATTTATATTTTTTTCTTGCCTTTTTAGCAACTCTTGGAATGGGCAATAAACAGTCAAAATAAATTAAAAAAAATTTTTTTTCCCTTCCCAAACCCCTAAATCAAAAATTTTTAATTCATTCACAAACTTAAAAAAAAAAAAACAACAAACCTGTGTTGCTACTTAAAAACAAATCTGTTTGTATGACTGTGCCAGGGTATGAAGTTGTTCCGAGTACATCTCTCAATCAGGAAATCAGTCCATTGCATGAGCAACATCTTAGGAATCTCAATACAGATTCAAATATTCTGAGTGTGTAGCTGCAGTGCTCACTGTCAACAGAAAGTCATATTTTGCCCTCAGGTGAAAATTAGCTCTATTGTTCCATTCCAAAGAAGGAGAAAAAAAAAAGCCTTTGCTGGAGGTCTGTTTGTTGGTTAATGACTGCATCAGGAAAAAAAAAACGTTTCTTTTTTTTTCCCCATTAAGTTTATTGGTACATTTAAAGCAAACAATACAGTTACATTTATCATTGTGCTCTTGTACCTTAACATGATATGTCTTGATTCTTATTTTTTCCCCATACCCCTGCCCTCCCTTCACCCCAAAAATTATTCTTATCGTCCTGTTTTAATGTTTTTTCTTCCCAGAAAACAAGATTTTGGTGAAGCAGTCACCCATGCTTGTGGTGTATGACAATGAGGTCAACCTTAGCTGCAAGTACACCTACAACCTCTTCTCAAAGGAGTTCCGGGCGTCCCTGTACAAGGGTGTGGATAGTGCTGTGGAAGTCTGTGTTGTGAATGGGAATTTCTCCCATCCACTTCAGTTTCACTCAAATACGGGGTTCAACTGTGACGGGAATTTTGACAATGAAACAGTGACTTTCTACCTACGGAATTTGTTCGTTAACCAAACAGATATTTACTTCTGCAAAATTGAGGTCATGTATCCTCCTCCTTACCTAGATGAGAAGAGCAATGGAACTATTATCCATGTGATAGGTAATGTGCAACTTGACCCTTGTACCACCTCAACATCATGTTTTTCAGCTGCAGTGGTCCCAAGGGATTCTGTACTAATAGAGATACATCAGATCATGGTATTAAGAAATATTTTCACGTACTTTAGATAAAATTCAGAGTAAAAGATTCAAATATATATATTTAAATTTTTATTGTGGTACTAGGATTGAACACAAGGCCTGCACTGAGCGACACTTCCAGCCTTTTAAAAGAAGTTTTGAGACAGGGTCTCATTAAGTTGCTAAGTTGCCCAGGCTTGATGTAAACTTGTGGTCCTCCTGTCTCAGCCTCCCAGGATGCTGGGGTTACAGGCATGCGCTACCATGACTGGCTTCGAAGTTATATTTTGAATATCTTTTCTTTTCCTCACTGACATCCAGTGGGAGAGTGAGCGATATAGTTACAGTCAATCTATGAGAAGAGGTCACCTAAGATTATTCTTAATTCAAGTAGGTCATGGAAGAAAAGTTTGCATTAAGATGCAAGCCCGGGTGAAAAAGCAGCTAGGTCTAATGGATCAGGACTCAGGAAGAATGAGTCATATTGCAAATTAATTCTTTTTTTTGTGCTCTATGGCTTTGCTCTGTTATATACCTTTCAATTTTCTGAAACATACTAAGGGTGCTGGCCCAAATGCCAGTGGTATGACATCTGCTATTATACAACTCAGTGATCTTAGATAAGTTGCTCAACTTTTTTATGGGACCAAACACAATATTATTAAGTAGTATTTACAAATGATTGGAGTTGACTCTGAGTTTATGTCATCTGAAAACACTGGGGAGAAATATCCTAAGATTGCTAAACTCAAAAGAATACAGCTTACTGGTCAACACTTACCAATGAGGGGCATCACACAGATTTTCTGACACACTTTGTGAACATACTACAGATTTTCTTTCCGGTATAATGATAAATAAGAAACTATGCTACATTTTATATTTAATATTAGCATAATTCTAATATATATTTTCCTCCTACTCTAGAACAGAGCTGTGCTGGAAAAACATTGAAAACTAAATAATGTGAAATAGAGGAAATTAATGAAAGAATATTTTGCATGTCCAGTCCCATTCAGACTTCCGATACCTATGATATTCAGACAGAATATTTTGGTTAGATAAAGCCAAACCTTAAAAATTGTTTAACTTTAGAAGCTAAGAGTAGAACATTTTCCGATATAAATAATATAATACTTTAGGATAGTATTTTATAATATATGGATATACACATAGTATATCATTTACAAGTGGAAAGAATATCTGTGATCCCAGACTCAGTAATTTGTAGTTCTTTTTTTCATGTTATAAAATGTAGGTAGGTTAAGAAAAAAACTGACACTTGGGCTTAACCTTGACATTTTGATTTAATTAATGTGTGTTGAGGAAGGGGCACTGGACATTGCTATATTTTCAGACTTCCTTGGATAATTCTTTTTTTTTTTGGTACCGGGGATCGAACTCGGGTCCTTGTGCTTGCAAGGTAGGCCTTGGAACCACTGAGCTAAATCCCTGGCCTCCTTGGATAATTCTAATGGGCCTCCAGAATTAGAAATTAATGGACTACAGATTTTTTTTGGTATTCTTTCTAGTTATCATTTTTTTTTCTTTTTCTTTTTTTCTTTTTTTTTTTTGAGTAGAACTCTTCAGGTTTCTTCCCATACCCTTTGCGATACCCAAAGATATCAAGTGACTTTTCTATCATTATATAACTTGTTAGCCAGAGTTGGAGCCAGATATTTGTCTTCTGATTACCAGTTCAGTGTTCTGTCAAACTACATGGATGATTTTCTTTTCTTTTCTTTTCTTTTCTTTTTTTTTTTTTTTTTTTTTTTTTTTT